ATCTATGTTGAATACGTGTATTAATATAAAACTGAAAATTATTATCATCAATTATATTGGTGTTCATTTGTGTTTGATCCCATTAACTTTATCAAATTCGCAAATAACTCAACAAAACGATGGTATTCAGGTATTCGCTATAGTGGTTTAAAATTTAGCTTTATAAATTGTATTTTTAAATTGTAAAAACTTCGATATAAATTTTAAATTTTTGCAATAACTGCCTGGGTTGTTATTAGGAATAATGTCCTGTCAGTGTTTAAAAATTATAATAATATTTGTGCTCATAAAAAATCGGAATTTTTCTTAATAATTTATTGAGTTTAATCATGTGAAGGGTTGAGCCAGGTATTAAGAATAAAATATAACTTAACGGAATTAGTTTCTGAAGTTTGTAGAAAACTAATAATATTCTTTAATAATAAATGAATACTTATTTTCTTCTGACAGTACGTCAATCATTGCGCGATCAGATGGTTCCAGGCGGACCTCAATTCGATTAGTTCGATATGCCAATTTTACAGATCATTTTTTCTGAATCCCGTGAATTCCACGATTATATTATAGGTAGCTACCTTTTATTCGCCGTATTCTGTGGAATTCATTTAACAATTAGTGATTATTTCTTATTTACTAATAGAATATGGCTCCCTTTACTAGCTATATATCATGAATACACAAGTAAAATCAGGAAAAATTTTTTTTTCTCAACAACGATCCATTTAAATTCAATGAAATTTTTTTATTTTAATTCTATGAGATTATTGAATTGAAATAAAAAAATTTTATCGAAGTTGGATAGGTAGTTGTTGACCAGAAATTTAAAAAAAATTTAACTTTTTACAGACATCCAAACTTTGAACGAAGATTACTCGGCACTCACCTGACCAAATTCGATTCAAATCGTTTTATTTTAATTCTATAGTTACATAGAATTAAAATAAACCAATTTTGGTCGCCAAGTAATCTTCGTTCAAATTTTGGTGTCTAAAAAAAAAAACTGCGACTAAATCTTTTTTAAATTTGATCAATATTTCTCAACAACTAACTATCCAAATTAGATAAAAAAATTTTTTTATTTCAATTCTACAATCTCATAGAATTAAAATAAAAAAAAATTCATTGAATTTATGATAAAGGATAGTTATTGAGAAAAGAAAAAATTTTCCTGATTTTATTTGTGTATTCATGATATATCGCTAGTAAAGTGAGCCTGTAAAAAGAAAATCTATTAGTAAATAAGAAATAATCACTAATTGTTAAATGAATTCCACAGAATATGGTGACTAAAAGGTAGCTACCTATAATATAATCGTGGAATTCACAGGTTTCACATAGAGATGGGCAATGTAATAATTAAGTAATAATTTCTTATTTTTATCCCCTTACTTATCATTACGAATTATTATATATTGTGAAGATTACAGAGTGATTATTACTTATTACGTAAAATGAACTAATGATTACTAATTGATAATAATATCAACTTTTTTAAATATACTGTTATGCTTAACGGTAATTAATAATTTTTTTTACATTTTCTCTATATCGAATTGGCCTTCTCCAAATCTGAAAATACAACATTTATTGTGTAAGCTTCCAAAAGGATCTGCTGGTCACCCACTAGGTCCTCTTTGGCAAGCCTTTAATCCAGTTAAAACCAATAATGATAAAAAACCTAAAGCTAGCTGTATGTTTTGTAATCCTGCAAAGCCTATATTCGGTACTGCAGCAGTGATGCTTTCACATATTAAAAAATGTGAACAAATTCATTTAGATATTCGAACCTACCTTATTAATGCATACAATTTTTAACAAAAATCAGTTCAGTCTATGCATGATATGCATGATATTTATTCAAATTGTGGCTCTATTTCAGATCTTTCTGAATGTAGCAATAAGAAATTTTCTCAAGACACTAATCAAATATCTATGCAATTACCAATTGATACATGTAAATCGAATTAACTACTATTAGAGGCTATTATAGAAGGTGGTGCACCTCTTTCATTTGTAGAAGCATGCAAATTTCAAGAATTTGTTTATTTTATAAATTATTGATATCATGTTCTAGCAAGAAAACAGCTCTCTAATAATATTCTTGATAATGTTTATAAAAATGTTCAAGCCTCAATTCAACAATTTATTTGCAAATCAAACTGGATTACTATTACGACAGATGGATAGACTAATATTCGACAAGATCATCTTGTAAACTTTGTTGTTATTAGAAAAAATCAAAAATCAGAACTGGCTAAAATTAAAGATACATTAGGTGAAAGTAGGGTTGGACAAATTTTGTAAATTACATTTTAACTTACATGTAACTTACATCATTTTGCAAACTTACACTAAGATATACATAGTAATTTAAATATAACTTACATGTAACTTACATCAAAAATTTAAAACTTACACAAAATGCCCAACCGTAGGTGAAAGTCAAACATCAATTGTTATACTTAGAGATTTAGAGGAAGTTTTAACTCAAATCGGTATTAAAAAATTAATGCTATTATTATAGATGGAGCTGCTAATTATGTTCATATAAAAACTATACTTATACAAAAATATCCTAAAATTATAGCTTTACTATGTATTGCACATGAATCTAATCTTCTAGTTGGTGATATATTAAAATACATATATATAAAATCAACTATAAGTTCAGCTATTAAAATTGTTGCATTTTTTCAAAGAAGTATACTGACTATTCAATATATTTGAGCTCGTTTATCTGATAATACATTTAGATTTACTTTTCCAACTTTTACACGATAGAATTCATTTTATACTTCCTTGTAATAATTACAAAACAAGAAGCAGTATTTAAAAGATATAGCATATGAAATAGAATCGCAAATTGACAAGTCAATTATATTAATACTTAAAAGCAATAAATTTTGGAATCACTTAAAAATTATTATTTATATTTTAAAACCTTATTCTCTTACTTCTATTATTTTAGAATCACAGCACACTACACTAGCTGATGCAGTATATTTATGGGCTCAAACACAAATGAACACCAATATAATTGATGATAATAATTTTCAGTTTTATATTAATACACGTATTCAACATAGAT